TCCTTGGAGAGGGACATCATGTTTGGCAGAGTGGAGGGGTGGCGAAGGAGAGGAAGACCTTCGATGAGACGGATCGATTCTGTGACTGGAGCGGTGGGATTAAGTGCGTTTGAGATGGCTATGTTGGCACAGGATAGAACAGCATTTAGAGCTCTTGTACATAGGGTCGCTATGAGTCTCAAGCGACTCGATGGCACATAACAACAACAACAACATTTTTTCTTAGTTTATAGTTATTATGTATATACATTTGTGTAACCACCACTTAGGTTACAGAATAGTTGTATATATTTATGGTTTTACTCTTTAGCCTTCATTTTTGAATGAAATTTGCATAAAAATTAACAATTTTGTGCACCTACCACCTTTGTGTCATTTAAAAACAGTTTCATCAGCCTGGAGAGCAGTCACCCTCCATCTATCTTTACATTCCCCAGCCCCTGTCAGCTACCAATGTGCCTTCTATTCTAATGATTTCCTCTATTCTGGATATTTCTTATAAATGGAATAATACAATATGTAACCCCTTGTGTGTGACTTTTTAATCAAAATATTGTGAAGATTCATTCATACTGCACCATGTATCAATACGTAATTTATTTTTATGTCTGAGTAGTAGTCCATCATGTTTATCCATTTATTCCTTGATGAACATTTGGGTCATTTTTATCTTTTTTGCAAATAGGGCTGAATTTGTGTATAAGGAACTGCTTATGACTATCAACAACAGCTTGATGATTCTGTATCTAACTTTTTGAGGAGCCACCAGCTATTTACTGAGGCACCACATACAGCATTTTCTATTTTCTGTGTGTTTTTGTGTTTTATAGCTATCCTAGTGTATGTGGTACCTCATTGTTGCTTTGATTTGTATTTACTTAATAACTAGTGATATTGAACATCATTTTGTATAGTTGTTGGCTGTGAATCCTCTTTGAACAACTTTCTAAGTACTTGGATCAGATTTTAAATAAGTTTTTATCTTCATCAATTATGTTAATCTGGGGAACTCTGGTGTTGTAGTCCACAGGGACTTGTGCTCCTAATCCAAAAGTAGTCCCTCTCTGGTGGTTTGAAACTACTTGATGGGGTAAAGATAGGCAAGCTCCTTCCTCAGGAGGAGTGATTTACAGCCTTAGGAAACCTGCTGGAGAGTCAGCAGTCTATTCTGATTTCATGGTGATGAGAATTTTTGAGTTGTTAAGGTAAACTTTATTTTCTTTTATTTTAATTAATTTTAATGAAAGTTTACAGAAACTTAGGGTTTCCATTCATTCATTGTTGCACGTTACTCCCTGCCCACCCTATCTCCCCTCCCCCATTCATTCTTCTCCTTGAAAAGTAAAATAAAAACTCTTTCACTGTTATGCAATCCCTTCCCCCAAGCCCACTCCACTGTGCAGCCTTCATTCTGGACT